CCCCCCCTGTCGTCTGCATGTAGATATCGTAGTTGTAGCACAGATACTAACCCTGTCTGTCAATACACATATCACATTGACAGTCGAGGCTGGTTCCTGTGATTGTAGCATGGACTAGTCTTTACTTGGTCAATAGACCGCACAAAACCTGTGATAATGCGCTGTAATTCTAATGATTGAAATGGGAAATTCTAGATTTGATATCTGTAATCCCTTCATCAAACTGGGAATCTGGCAGGGTAAAATTGCTGTGATGATAGAAGGCACATATACTATGTATTTTAAGAAAGACCTCTGTTTGTCTGCTGTTTCCTTCGTGCAAGTTAAATATTGGATACAGTAATGCGGTGATTTACTTTCTCTAAACGTTTCCGATCACGTTCAGTATTCAATGCTATTTTATTAGCTCACCTGGCCCTTCGGGCCATGTGAGCTTATGCCATACTGCGTCGTCCGTCGTCTGGCGTCCGTCCGTCAAATTTTTCTTTTGAATGACTTCTTCTGAAGAACTGTAGACCTAGGGTCATGATATTTGGCCAGTAGGTACCTGGGATGGAGTGCTATAAAGTGTCCTCATTAAAATGACCTTGACCTACTTTCAAGGTCACAGCGGTCAAATATGTGTAAATTTTCAAACAACAATATCCTAAGAACCATTTGAACTAGAGTCATGATACTTGGGTATGTTATGAAGACCAGCAGTGCGAATATTTTTCTCAGTCACAGTTATGAGGTCAAAGGTCAAATTTAAATGCTAGTTGGGGGTTTAAATGTCAACTTTAGTTAAAATCTTTAACAATCTTCTTCTCAAGTTCCATAAGGCCCAGGGTCATGATATTTGGCCAGTAGGTAGCTGGGATAGAGTGCTATAAAGTTTCCTCATTAAAATGACCTTGACCTACTTTCAAGGTCACTGGGGTTAAATATGTTAAAAACTTCAAACAACAATATCCTAAGAACCATTTGGACTAGTGTCATGATACATGGTATGTTATGTAGACAATCAGTGCAAATATTTTTCTCAATTACAGTAATGATGTCAAAGGTCAACTTAAAGTGCAAGTTGGGGTCCAAGGTCAACATGAGTCAAAGGCTTTAACAATCTTCTTTTCAATTTACATAAGGCTCAGGGTCATGATATTTGGCCAGTAGGTACCTGGGAAGAAATGTTATAAATGTTCCTCATTAAAATGACCTTGACCTACTTCCAAGGTCACTGGTGTCAATTATGTTAAAAACTTCAAACAACAATATCCTAAGAACCATTTGGACTAGAGTCATGATACTTGGGTATGTTATGTAGACCAGCTGTGTGAATTGTTTTCTTTATTACAGTAAAGAGGTCAAAGGTCAACTTTAAGTGCAAGTCGGAAGTCAAAGGTCAATATGAGTTAAAAGCTTTAACATTAAAATTTCAAGTTTCAAACTACAATATCTTCAGAACAGTTTAAGAGATGTTAAAATGTCTTGTGTTCTAGTTACCAAATTTGGTCTTAAGTTACCTATACGTCAGTTGCATGTAACAAAAGAAACAGGTGAACGATACAGGCCCTCTGGGCCTCTTGTTTTTATAAAACCACTTCGAAGGAGCCGAGTGCCATATCTTTTATGTCACTTCCTTGCTCCAAGACACTTAGAAATGAGAATGGCAAAGTCCTAGGGATTGGTGACTTATTTTCTCACCTAGATTTTGGAGAAGACATCCTGACACTTGTTATATGTAGTGAAATCTCCCGTTATGTACTTGTTCGATTTAATATGGTTAAGTGTGTCATATATTTCCGGGTTCTCACTTCTCTAACTTTTTGTAGATGGAATATTTTCTGTGTTACTTTATAATAGGACCAGAATTTATTGTCAAACAGATCTGGTTACACTTTGATGTGGTTTAAAACTCCAGACACCCTGGTAGCATTCTTTACACTAAATCATTATTTACACATAAACATTATTTCATACTTTTCTCCTGTGGGAAACGATTCACGTACGAAATCATAGTTTCATACTTTTCTTTTCCGTGGTACTTTCTATAAACCTGGTTTTTAGCTCACCTGCCCAAAGGGCAAGTGAGCTTATGCCATGGCGCAGCGTCCGATGTCTGTCGTCCGTCGTCCGTCGTCCGTCCGACCGTCTGTCAACTTTTCCTTTAAAATGCTACTTGCCCAGTAGATTTGGACTAAATTTGGTCTGGAGTATCCTTAGGCCAAGGGGAATCAATTTGTATAAATGATGGGTCTGGCCCCCCTGGGGGCTGAGGGGCGGGTCCCAATAGGGGAAACATAGCAAATTCTTTAAAATCCTTCTTCTGTAGGAATGAAAGGATTTGGACTAAATTTGGTCTGGAGCATCCTTAGGCCAAGGGGACTCAATTTTGTATAAATGGTGGGTCTGGCCCCCCTGGGGGCTGAGGGGCAGGCCCAATAGGGGAAATATAGCAAATTCTTTAAAATTCTTCTTCTTCTGTAGGAATGAAATGATTTGTTCCATATTTGGTCAGAAGCATCATTGGGGGAAGGGGAACCAATTCTGTAAAAACCGTGGGTCTGGCCCCCCCCTGGGGGCTGAGGGGCGGGGCCCAATAGGGGAATTATATAGCTAATTCTTTAAAATCCTTCTTCTGTAGGAATGAAAGGATTTGTTCCATATTTGGTCTGAAGTATCCTTGGGACAAGGGGCACCAATTTTGTATAAACCATGGGTGTGGCCCCCAGGGGCCTGAGGGGCAGGGCCAAATAGGGGAAACATAGCAAATTCTTTAAAATCCTTCTTCTGTAGGAATGAATGGATTTGGTCCATATTTGGTCTGAAGCATCCTTGGGTGAAGGGAAACCAATTTTGTATAAATTATTGGTGTGGTATCCCAGGGGCCTGAGGGGTGGGGCCCAATAGGGGAAACATAGCAAATTCTTCAAAATCTTTTACCATATAGATTAAGAGATTTTATC